ACCACCACCATCATCATCATCACCATCACTGCCACCATTACCATCATCGTCACCATCACCACCATCATCATCATCATCACCATCATCGCCACCATCACCATGATCGTCACCATCACCATCATTGCCGTCATGCTCTCCCCTTCGGGGCAGTTGAGGCCCCTTCTCAGAAGGACACGGACGTTTCCAGGAGAGGTCAGTTCCCGCCGCCCACACTCACCGTCTGCCTCCTCCGCCGTCTCCTCCTCGTTGCCGCTCACACCCGACACCTCCATCTCCTCATCCTCCACCACGGGCGGGAAGGTGGCCTCTTCGCTGGCAGCGGCCGGGGCTTTCTTCTTCTTCCTCCGTGCGTTCCTCTCCTTCTCCTAGGGCACAGGGACACCGGCGGGTCAGGGCCCGGCCCTGGGCTGTCAGCCCGGGGACTCCCATGCTCAAGGCCTCACCACAGCTGCAAGGACCAGCGCTCCCGCCATGTGGCCCTGAGGGCGCCCCTCCCCCGCACACCACCACCCGCCACACATGCCAGTGGTTATTTTTACCGAGGGCTTTAGTCTCCCCCCGCTCCCAGCTACCCTGGGGCACAGCCTGGCCTATCAGCTGCCCTGACATCCTTCCGGAACAGGTGAGGAAGGCTTGCCTCTGCCTGAGGGCCCTCGTGATTGCTCCAGCCCCTCTGACTGTCCTAGCCAGAGCGGTGACCACACCCCCGGGAGGGCACCTGCCGGGTCGGTCTGCACGTGTGGAGTGAATGAATGAATGAAGCTTTTCCTGGCACGTCTCATCTGCCCCCTGCTGAACCCCGGGGACAGGCTAGCTTGTCACTCCACCCTGCCAGTCTTACAGGGCACCTGTGTGCCAAGCATGGCCCCAGGGCTGAGGACACACAGTGAACGAGGTAGACAGTCCCTGCCCCAGAGGCCTTCCAGTCAGGGAGATGGGCAACCAACACATCCGGTAAAAAGAGACTTTGAGGTGCGGCCACGGCTGCTGGGGGAACAGGTAGGGTGGGGCAACAGTGCAGGGCCAGGGCTACTCTGGAGGGCTGGTGGGGAAAGGCTTCCCTGAGGAGGCAACATCTGAGCCGCAGTCTGAGCAGCAGAGGGAGCTGGCAGGCACAGCTCTGGACGAGAGTGATCCAGGTGGAGGGGACCGCATGTGCAAAGGCCCTGAGGTGGGACTGGGCTGGGTGTATTCCAGGAACAGAACGAAGGCCCTCAACACGGAGCCTTTCACTTCCCCCGACACCGCATCCCGTCCCCAGAAGTCGGGCTCCTCACACAAGGAGCCAGATGCCCACCCCCCAGCTTGGATACAAACATCGCTCCACCTTGATGGCTCCCATCTGAACCTCACTGGGCCGGGCGCTCCAGGAGGGCATCTCTTTACCCCCCATACTGAGCCCGGCAAAGGCTCAGAAAGTGTTTGTTGATTGACTTACTGAGTGACTGTGAATGGGCAGTGTCTGGGGCTTGAACACACAGTCAGCAGAGTTGGCGTATGTGCGAGGCAGAATGTGCTGGGGGTCTGAGGTGACCGGGTACTCTCAGGGGAAGTGGACTGGCCTTTAAGAGGGGACCCACCTCAATACAGCTGCTGTGACAGGAGGGAACGCAGCCTGAGACCTTCAGGGTCCCCGAAGAAGGAACCAGAAACTACCACGCTCCTGGCTGTGCCAACAGGGCTCAGTGAAGCCCTTTATACTGGGTTAAATAGTGTCCCCCCGGAATTCACGTCCACCCGAACCTCAGAATGTGACCTTATTTGGGAATAAGCTCTTTGCAAATGTAATTAGTTAGGATGAGGTCACACTGGATTAGGGTGGATCCTAATCCAATACGAGCGGTGTCCTTATAAGAGGGAGATTTGGACACAGAGACACACAAGGGAGCAACGCATCCCCCAGCCTGGGAGCGGCAGGGATGCCGCGGCACCGGGAGCAGGAAGAGCGAGGAGGGCCCCTCCCCTGGAGCCCGCGGAGGGAGCGCGGCCCTGCTGACACCCTGATGTCCGACTTCCAGCCTCAGAACTGTGAGAGAAGACGTTTCTGCTGCTGTAACCACCTAGTCTGGGTCCTTTGTCACAGGAAACCGGAAACTTACGCACCTTCCCTCCACCAGTCCCCCGGCCCTGGGACCGAGCCACCCTGCACCCGGCTCTCCGGGCCACTGCCTGTCACCTCCAGGCGCCAGCAGGCCCTGCCCACCACGGCCGGGCTGGGGATGGGCCTCAGGGGGTCCCCCAGCCACAGCCTGGGAGTGGGATCATCTCCCTCCCACCTTCATCTTGAGCCAACGGGGGTCCTTGGAGCGTAGCTGCCTGGACTGCCAGGAGGAAAAGGGAAACGTCCGTCTGCCCGTTAGTCACGGTTTCCGTCACCAGCGCTCAGCCAGAGCCACAGCCCCACCCTGCCCAATGTCCCCGGGGCCGCAGGGGAGCGCCCGGCTCCGCGTCCACTGCCTCCTGGGCTGACCCAGCCTGCTCCCAACCCCCGCTTCTCCCAGAGGCCCCCCCGAGCGCATGGAGGCGCGAGAAAGTAGTGTGGCGCGTGGCTTCTGTGGGTGCGGCCGAGGGCTCCCCTCTTCCCCAATCTGTTTCTGGCAGGCAGGGACCCACTCGCTCGGCTGGGTGACGTGGGGGACTCGGGACGTGCAGGGCCTCGCAGAACAGGGGCTCCTGTGGGCTGGGACTCGGGTCCTCCTGGGGCCATGCGGTCTCTCTGGGAGGTCTGCCAGACCCGAGGCCTAGGCCGTGTCGGCCAAGCGGGGCCAGGACGATGTCAACAACACTGGACCTGAGAGGCTGGGACTCGGCGAGGGTCCGAGGACTCCTTCCACCCACGGCCCGCACCTGGGGGGGGGGGTGCATACAGAACAGGGATGCTGGAGATACTAATGTTAATAATGACCGTGGACGTTTATTAAGCAGCTATTGTGTGCCAAGCATTTTCCACGTATTAATCCACCGGATCTGCACAGCTGCCCTGCACATCGGAGCACGCTGCCCCCTGCCTCAAACTCTCCAAGGGCTCCCCAAACCCTTGATATAAAACCCCAAGTCCTCCCCGCTCCTTATAGCCCTGCATGATCCAGACGTGGACCCCACTCGCCTCTCCACCTTGCTGGAACACGCTGCCCTCCTTGAGCAAGCGTGCTTACAACGCCCCAGCCACAGGGCCTTTGCACTGGTAGTTCCCCAGCCTGAACATCCTTCTCCCAGATACTCCCACGACTCACTTCCTCCCCTCCATCAGGGCTTCACTCAGACATCACTTCCTCACAGAGATCTTCCCTGATTACCTGTCAAAACTAGCTAATCTCAGCCCCATCAATTACTTTCTACGCTACCCAGCCTCTTACCACCTTCAGACCACAACCTGAAATTATTTGTGTGTTAATTCATCTCTTGAACTAGAACCAGCTCCTCAAGGGCCGGCATCTTTGTCATCTGTTCTCGGCTGTATTCCCAGTACACAGGGCCTGGCACAGAACAGGCGCTCTGTACCTACTTCTTTAGGTGAATGAACCTGACAAAGACAGTGGCTCAGAGAGGCAGAGACACTTGCCCAAGATCACACAGCTCGTGAGTCGAGGAGCCTGGATCTGAATGCAAGTCAGGTGCAAGCACTTGCCTGCCTGGACCACCTCTCTCTGCAGGTCTGTGCAGCCTCAGACGGAGGAGACGACAGAGGAAAACAAGGCAAGGTGGGGCCTGGGCTGAGATGGACAGAGACGGAGAAACAGGGAAGCTGGGCCCCAGGGCCTGTGTCCACAGATGAGAGTAAAGGGTAACCTTCGGCCACGCGGAGAGGGAGGGAAGGCTCCGAGAAGCCACTGATGCCAAACGTTACATAACTCTGGACGCGCCCCGCCCGCCCGGTCTGCTTCCTGCTGACGTCGCCCGCGGCCACGCTCAGGCCAGGCCTGGGGCAGGGCTGGAGGGGACGGCCGCTGACCCCCTGTCTCCCCCACTGCTTCCTGAGCTCCAGACGGGCCTAGGCAGCAGCGAGAGGGAGCTGCCACTGCTCCAGGAGTCACAAGGACCTGTCTTCCTCCTGGGACGGGAGGGCATGGGGGAGGGGCGGGAGGCAGAGGTCACCGAGTCCAGCGGCATCTTGTGAGAACTGCTTGCACACTCCAGTGACGGGGAACTCACCCACACGCAACCGTCAGGATGGACGGACCAGGCTGAGCTCGACTTCCTGTGACGGGTCCCCGCGTCCGCTCCCTGCACCTTCCCTGCAGCCCTCGACGTAAGTCTGCTCCTCCGAGGCCAGCGGGATGGAGAACCAACCCACCCTCCCACAGCGCCCTTTCTCATCACGCGATCAGCAATGTTCGCCCGTCTGTTGGCCTCAGAACGTGGCGGCTGGCCCCCACCTCTGCTCCCCTGCTCGCCTGGTGGGACCACCCTCTGCCGAGTTTTGTGTGCGCCACATCTAGTAACAGGGACGGGTACACGAAGGGAAGCCAGGGCTCCTAGAGACCCGGGTTCAACCCCCTCTGTGGTCTCAGCAGGCACCTGCTTCCTCCTGGCCTCAGCATCCTCCTCCGAGGAATGGGGGCAACGGCAGCAACCTCAGGGGGCTGGGGAGGGGCCCGAGCTGGGCCTCAGGGTCCCCCTCTGTTCACGCCTCCTCCTCAGGCCGCCAACGATGCTGCCCACCCATCAGAGCGTTCAGGGTCAGGGGACAAGGAGGGTGACCTCCATCAGTCAGCGACATTTCACTCAGACCAGCACCACCCACCCCGAGCCCAGTCTCGGCTGCATTACCCCTGGCTCACGAACCTTCAATGGTTCCCCACTGTCCAGTGAAGAAACGCCCAGCTCCTCAGCCCAGCAAGAAAACCCCGTCCACACGTATACCCGGGGGCACCTGCTGCTGCTTCCTCGGTATACAGCGGGCGCTCAATAAAGGCTTGCTGAATGCACAATGAGGATGACGTCCAACACTTACTGAGCACTGACCAAGGGCCAGGCACTGCCCTTCGCAACACGTCCGCTCCTCACAACCACCCCACGAGCGGGTCCTGGTCTGACCTCCACTCTACAGAGGGAAACTGAGGCACAGGGCAGAAAGGCCATGTACCCGCGGGCACCAGGCAGTGATGCAGAGCTGGGCTGTGAGCCCTCAAGCCCAGAGCCACCCACACCATCCTGCTCAGCCGCCTCTGAATGAACGAGTGAATGAATGAATGAATGAATCAACCAATCAATCACTCGGTCAATCCAGGAGCAGACGTGCTTCAGGCCTAACTGACAACCAGGGAGACGAGACACCCCAGCCACCAGACACCTGGCAGCTGTGAGCTTGCCACTGCCACCACCATCGCGGCTCTCACCTGTGCGGCGCTCGTGACGTGCCAAGCCCCGTTCTCCTCGCTGTACACCCGTCCACCTGTGTCATGCCCACAACAGCCCTCTGAGGTGGGCACTGTTGTTACCCCCTTTTCACAGGTGGGAAAACTGAGGCACAGAGAGGACAAGCCACTTGCCCGGGGCCACACAGCTAGTAAGTGGCAGAGTCTGGATTTGAACCTGAGTCTCTTGGGCCCAGAGTCCCTGCTATGGCTGTTCCAGCACACATCATCTGAAACAAGAGCCCCCACTACTGCCCCCCCACTTTACAGATGAGGACACTGAGGCTCAGGGGGTGAAGCCACTGCCCAAGTCACACAGGTGCCAGGTTGTCAAGCCAGGACTTGACCCCACGTTCACCCTGAGCCCGGGCTGCACCTTCCACTGTGCTGGGGTCTCTGGTCCTCTAACCCACACTGTCAAGTTTTGGGGTGCCCAGGGATGCCAGGGACCGGGCCCCGAGGAAACCTGGAAAGAGTCTGTGGGGCCAGCAGGCTGTGAGGGGAGGAGCAGCCTGTAACCCCAGAGGCCCAGAGCGATGCGGGCCGTGGACTCCAGGCTGTGGACTCCGGGCCGTGGACTCCGGGCCGTGGACTCCGGGCTGTGGAGACCAGCTGGGAGGAGCAGGGGCGGGGGAGTAGGGAGGCAGCGGAAGATATTTTCGTGCCTGGAGCGATGCTCACCCCCCCAGTTAATCCTGCGCTGGTGCACACAGAGGCTGGCTGACACCCCACCCCTCGGGCCTCCGTCCCCCAGGGGCTGGATCCTCGGCTCTGAGGGGCTTCGGCAGGTGTTTATACAGGTGCTCCACGCCCTCAGCCCTCCCTGAGGCCTCCCCCCTGCAGAAACCAGAGTCCTGGAAAATCTAGAAGGAAGCAGAGCCCCTGGTGTCCAAGGGAGCCTGATGCTTGAGGAGCACCAGGTTCAAGTCCATCTCAACAGCAAGGGGCAAAAGTGAAGGCGGCATGGCCTCACTGGATGTGAGGGGGAATGAGGGAGCGGGGAAGTGTCCCCCTCCAGCCTAGGACACTCAGAGGGGCTGGGAAGGGGTGCCCTTAAATTCTGCACAGCGCTCAAGGAGAGTTCCAACAGGATAACCCTGTCTCTGGCCTGCGCGTGCTGTGTGACCTCAGCAGCGTGCTCACCCTCTCTGGACCTCTGCAGGCATTGCCTCCCAGGACAGGCTGCACATACTTTAAACACAGCACAGGCAGCCTGATCCAGGGGGACGGGTACAAGCCGGTCCTGGGGGAAGGAGAGCTGTGTGTCTCCCTGTTGTCCCTTCATACCTACAAGGAAACACGCGGCCCACTGGCTAAGAGCACGGCTCCTCAGGTCACGTATTGTGGGTCCAAACCCCAAGTCAGCTGTTTCTGAGCCTGGCTGAGCCTCAGTTTCCCCAGATTTGGAATGGTGACAATGCCTGGCACGTCACAAGTGTGCCCAAAAGGAGAGAGAGAAAGATAGAAAGACAGAAGGACAGACAGAAAGACGTGGCCGCCCCCAAACAGCCCTCGCGTCCCAGTAACAGCTGCAGGAAGCGCTCTCCATGGGGACCATTTTCACACTCAGCGAGGCGCCGCCCCTTCTGTGCTCCTGGGGACAGGAAGGCCTCGGCCTCCCCTGAGCCCCCGGGAGGCCCGGGCTGGCCGCTTCTCCCCAATCTGTCCTTCCCTCCCCGCCAGCCCTAAGACCATGAGGCCAAATGGGGTGGGGGATGCCCCCTTGGGGTCCATCTGCCTCTGGGTCTTCACTCCAATGCACCGACGGCCGAGAATCCCTGGTGAGTCAGGGCCCGACTCGCCACACTCCCTCCACAGCTGAGCCGGCGCTGCAGCCCTGGAGGGTCTGACCGAGGGGTGCTGGGGTGGAGGCGGGGGCGGGCCTGGCCCACAGCGGGCACACCTCCCCGTCCCGGCACCCAGGAGGGACGTTTACGGCACAGATCAACCCTGGAGCTGTCCCATGGGCACCGCTTAGCAGGAGCCAGGGGCTGAGTCCTGGGCGAGACACCCCTCCCGCCCAGGGCTCCCAGGGCAGCCCCACGTGGGGGGTCTGGCGGGCCGCCCGGCCGTGCGGAGGGCGTGGGGGACTCACCATCTTCAGCTTGTGCTGCTGCAGGATCTCATCCAGGTTCTGCCTCTTCTTGTAGTTGAAGTAGAAGTTCTTACACTGCGACACGGTCTTGGAGCCCACCATGCGGGCGATGGCCGACCAGTTCCGGCCGTGTTCCAGGAGACCTGCGGAGGGAGGGCGGCAGGTGAGGGCGGCACCCACGGCCCGGAGGGCAGACGGAGCCCGGGCAGGAAGCAGCCCTGACACAGACCGGAGGCTCACCGCTCAGGTCCCAGGCTCCGGAAGGGACACGGTGTGGATACACCAGAGAGGGGCGGGGCCGGCCTCCCAGGGCTCCAGGGCCCGGGAGGGGCAGGTGGGAGCTCGCGCGGGTGCACCCCCTCAAGGCCACTGTCAGGGTTCTGGGGGCCGAGGGCTGAGGTCCAGGTCGCAGACCCGCCAGGCCCCCCCGCCCCCCCGGCTGTCGTGACCCTGCACTGACACTCCTCGCAGCTGCAGACGCGGCCTCGGGAGACAGCGCTGTTTTCCGGCCGCACCAGCCAGGGAGGAAAGGAACGTGCGAGCAGGCGCGGGAGGGTGGGGTCGGGCGGCCGTGAGCTGGGCCGGGAGCCTCCGCACCAGGTCAACTGGGGCACCTGTGACCCAATGCCCCCTGTGGACACCTGGGTGTCCCTGGACTTCAGGGACCCCAGGCTGGTTCAGGGGCTGGGAGTAGACTTGCCCCCAGACCACAGCACCCCCACCTCCGTGAGCTTCCTACAGCCTCGCAGACTCCTGATGTGGGGAGAAACCCCCAGGAACGGGCAGACCCGGCCCCACACCCACCCAGGTCGGAGAACGTTCCCTCCACGCCCACAGACTCAGGCCACAGCCGCGCCCGCCTGCTACTTTCCATGCTGTAAACACCAGGCTCAGCAGAACGCGGTGCCCCTGCATCCACAGGCCGCGCCTGGGAGCCGGCCTGGTCTCGGCCCACCGGCCCGGGGAGCTCCCGGCGCACACGGGCACACATGGGTGCACATGGGCACTCGACACACCAGCCACCGTCCCCCGGGCAGGTAGGGCCGGCCTCCTCCCCAAGGCTGCGGGAGAGGTGGGAGGTGGGGGCCGCAGGGCAGGGCTGGGCCCCCCGAGGGCGGCAGGCACGAGGCCTGAGTCACACCGCCGGGAACACGGCGGCCTCGGAGCCAAAGTGCTACACTTGTGAGGACTAACGAAAGATTGCCCATAACGAAGTTTGAGGCCATTTTCCTTGAATAAAATCAAACTGCGAGCAGGGCTGCTGAAATCTCGCAGGGGTGCAGGAGGCTGAGGGGCCGACAGCCCATGTGTTGGCATTTTCTGTCTTTCATTCGTCCGTCCGTCCATCCATCCATCCATCCATCCAAACATGTGCCGGGCTTGCTACACACAAAGCTCTCACACAAATAACAGCAAAGCATCAACAGGCCACCACGTCACGTGGCCAGGCACCTCGGAGTTTGCAACGCCCGTCAAAGACTCGGTCCCAGCTCATCCTTGCCCTCCAGGCCGTGAGCGTTTTCCCGTGCCCAGGATGGGGACAACTGAGGCTCAGGGGGTCACAGCAACTCAAGCTGATGGGCCGGGCCACGGGCCGGAGGCGCTGGGCGTGGGGACCCAGGTTTCTGCTCTCCCGCCTCTGGGCCCGGTGGGCAGGGTGGTGGTGGACCACCAGGCCACCTGCTCCCCTGCATAGGCCACGGGGCCACGTGGCTCCCGGCAGCTCCTCAAGGACAGGCGCGAGCAGGGGGAGGGCCGGGGCATGGGATCAAGTGTAACCCGCCCCCTGACCTTTCCCGTCGCCAGCGCCAGCAGCAGCTGCCACTTCCACAGAACCTGGCGGAGGACGGAGGACGACGGGGACGCGCGTTTATTTATATTTCCCCAGCTGGGGCCAAGAGAGCCCAGCAAACACGTCGATCCAGAACGCCGGGCGGGAGAGGGCGGGTCTCCCATCTGGGCCTGCTGGGGGGTGGGAGGGGGCCTCGAGGGCCCCGGGGCAGCCGGACCCGGGGAGGCTGACGGTTCCAAACCCAGCACACAAATAAGGAGGTGGTTCAGAGTCTGGCTGGGGGCCTGGGGTCCTAATTAACAGCCCTCCTGGCAGCAGCCGAAGCTGACGGGGAGCTGGGGCGGGGGGGGTCACCCAGCCCCTCCCGGAAGCGAGCAGCTCGTGAAGGAGCACTGGACCCAGCTGTCCAGAAGCCCTGCCCGGAACGTGCTGCATGGTCTCGGCCGTCCCCTCTGCTCTCTGGGCCTCAGTTTCCCTAACTGCCATGTGAAGGGTGGGGGCCCTACTAGTGCTGGCCAGGGCCCCTGGGGTGGGGGCGGGCTGGCACGAGCTCCCTTCTGGCTCCTGTTCTGGGACCCAAGACCGAGGGTGCAGGGCACGGGAAGAAGCACCTTAGACCCCACTGTGCCTTGGAGACCACCTGAACCAGACCCGGCTGAGAGCCCCCCCACGCCCGTCCACCTGGAGAGAGCACATCTGGGCAAGCGCCAGCCGAGACCCCCAAGCGAACTGGGACACCCAAGGCCTGCTCCCAGCACAGACCCAGGTCCTGCTCTCCTTCCCAGAGAGCCCCAGCCTGACAGCCAGAAAAGCCGGGGAAGGGGGCGCCAGGGAAAAAGGGGGGATCCCATGGTGCAGAACTCCCCCCGCCTGGAGTCCCCCGCCTGGGGCTGCCTGACAGCCACGGCCAGTCCCTGTCGCCAGCTCCCAAAGCCCCCCAGTCCCCTCCCAGAGCCAGTCACTCACATCCTCTCATCTGCGTCTCCCCCTCGGCCAAGTTTTCCGGAAACATACGGCTGGGAGGATGCTCCAGGGAGCGGGCTGGGAGCAGCGGGCTGGGAGGCGGGAGGCTGGGCGGCCGCGGTGCGGCTCCGCGAGGCTTCTGGCTGGCGTCTGCTCCGGCTCAGCTCTGCCTCACATCCTTCTCGTCCAACGGCAGCGAGGGAGGGAGGAGGGAGGAGGGAGGAGGGAGGAGGGAGGAGGAAGGAGGGAGGAGGAGGGAGGGACCGCGGGCGGCCGGCAGAGGCTGGCTCCGAGAAGGGCGGAGAAGCAGCTCCCCCCGCCCGCGGTGGCCCAGGGCTCCTCGGGCTGCCACTCCTGACACCGTCCCCCCCGCAGCTGCGGGCACGCGAGGTGCCCTTCGCGGATGGGGGTGGGCGGGCGGCGGGAAGTTGTCAGTCGTGCGCTCAGTGCCCCATGCCAGGCATCACCAGGGGGCACAGTGTCTGTGGCTCCTCCAGGCACCAAGGCGCCCAGCACAGACGCTCAGCCCCCCGGCCCCCCAACGCCCCCGCCGCTCTGCAAAACCTGAAGACCCCAGCCCGACGGAGCAGCGGTGCCCGGCAGCCTTGCTGCGCGCCTGGCTCGGCTCGGTCTCCCTGCCGCCTGACCCAGCGAGACGCGTCAGGGCTGAATGTGACCTCCAGACGAGGCTCGCGGGAGCAGGCAGGCGGGGGAGCGTGGCAGAAGCCCAGGTTCAGAAGGGGCGGGCCAACTTGGCACCGGCTTCCCCTCCCTCTCTCCCCATCCGTGGCAGTGGCGGCGTCAGCAGCCGTAAGAACAGACGAGGGTTCAGAAAAACAGAGCCGGTCCGCCGGCAGACGGGGCAAACAGCCTCTTCCGCTGTCCTGCCCCTGTGCCAGTTCGACCCGCGGTCTGCCGCCCGCCCGGCCCGACGCCAGGCCCTATGTGGGGGCCTCTGGAGGGCTGGGACCGTGCCCTCCCGCCCTCCCAGCACCGGCGGGGCTGCGGGCGCGCAAGGCTGGCTAAGCGTTCCAGGGGGAAGCTTAGGACTTGGGGAGCCTCTGCTGAGCGCAAACGGGACCTCAGTCATTGGCGGGGGGGTCTGGGTCCCCCCAGGGCTCTCTGCTGCCTGAGGGTCTCAGCCCGCCGCCGCCTCCTTCCTCACCTGACAGTAGGCCACCCTGGCCCCACACAAACACCTGCCACAGATGCCCAGGCCGCTCCCGGGGGTTGAAAGTTAACTGAGCTGAACTTTGGAGCTTGATCCAGGTCATGACCGATTTCTCCAACTCTGGGGTCAGTGATCTGCTTGGCCCTCGAGCCTCAGCCTTTCCATCCTGCCCACGGGAAGCCAAGGAACAACAGGCCACAGGTCTCCGAGGTGCCCCTGCTCCCCAGCCTGGGTCCCCAGCCCTCGTCCTGGGGCGTGACACCAGGGGAGGGTAAGAGATCCAGAACTTTCCACCTGAGTCCCACAGTGCGTTCTCCGCAAGGGAGGCCCCAGGGAGCTTTCAGGGATGCCAATCCCATCGTCTCCCTCCTCTGCTTCAGATCTTCCGATGACGACCCAAAGCTCTTGGGATAAAATCCAAAGGCCTCGGCGTGGCGCAGGAGGCCTGCAGAGCCAGCCCCGCCCGTGTCCGGTCTGCTTCCTCCCTCCTGCCTCGATCACCAGCTCCAGCCACTGGGGCCTTTTATGCCCGGCCCTCAGACACGCCCCAGGACACTTGCACTAGCTGTCCCCTCTGCCCACATGGCTTTTTTCCAGATCTGCCTCTGTCCTCCTCCTCAGCTCTTGACTACCCCCTCAGAGAAGGCTTCCCTGACCACGCTCTCCAAAGCTGTCCTCCAGCCGCCCTGCCGTCACGTGGTTTTGTTATCTCCAAATCAGCTCCTTGGCTCCACTGCTCACGGACCATGCGTCTCTGCGCCCACAACCGCTAGGTGGGCAGGAGGCACTTGGCAAAGGAGCACGGCTCCAGACACCGAGCGTCTGGGTCTGGGGCCACCGGGCATCTCTACCACGTCTCTGGGGCTCCCAGGATGGAGCTCCCGAGACAGGAGGGACCAGGGCTCACCCCTGCGGGTTGCCAGACCCTCCCCAGAGGGAATGCCCACCTCTCGCCCACGGGGCACGCCCACACGCACTCTGCCCAGACGGCGGACTCTGCCAGCCAGCCCTGTGGTCTGGATTCCCCGACTCCACTTCTAATTTCTAAGGAAGGAGTTTCGTTCTGAAGAGTCAGGAGGCAGGAACTAGGAAGTGAAATTGACGAGACAGGAAGTTGAGCCGGGAGGTCTGAGTCAGAGATTCGGAGCGCAGAACGAGGCGAGGGTGCAGGGCGGCGTGGGCATGGTGGCCTGGGGGGCTCCCAGCTGGCAGCCTGG